CCCCGGGGGTTAGGGCAGGGAGGGAGTTGGGGGAAGGAGGGGCGGGTCGGGGGTAGGGTGGGAAAGGAGCGGGCACGGAGCGGGGACCGGTCTGTGGGGCATTTGAAGCGGCAGTTTCGGAGCTGGGAGAGGAAGCCGTGGTCGCGGCGGTGCTTTATAAAGGGGTGGGGCGAGTGAGCGGGGACGCGTTCCCGGGGCTGGCTGGGTTTGGAGGGGAGGGGAGAAGAGGTCGGGGTGGAGGAGGTGGAGCCCCGGGGGTTAGGGCAGGGAGGGAGTTGGGGGAAGGAGGGGCGGGTCGGGGGTAGGGTGGGAAAGGAGCGGGCACGGAGCGGGGACCGGTCTGTACGGAGTGGGGAGTACCCAGAGCCGCGTTGGCTGCTCTAGACCTTCGGTTTCTAGCGCGCGCTGCATCTTGTGCCTCGAGCTTCACTGATCAGAATCTGGCAAGCGCCGCTAAAATGATGCCGGTCAATTTCTTTGGTGCCCCAAAGCTCCAAATCTCTTGTATGAGTGGTAACTTGTCAGAAACAAATCCGATATCCCGAGTGTCGCTGCATTTCTGCTGGACTTAAAGTGTAAATTAAAAGGCATTGGGTTTTTCTATTTGTGTATCGCGTGACCTGTTACTGTGAAGAGTTGGGCGTTTAAACGAGTTATGCATTCGCTGTGAAGGGCTGCTGCCTAGGCATTTCTCCTTACAGAGAGGGAACGCCATTCAAATTCATCATTTCATTTCTACCATAGAGCAGAGGGCCAGTTTTACAGCCGACCACCTAGTAGGATAGTCATTCAAAACTTTTTTTTAAATGTAAATTTTAAAACGGACCAAAGATAAACAGGTGGCAGTTGAGCCTATGAAAAGATGATTCGCATCATCTCATCAGGAGCACTCAGATTAAACCAAAGATACCACTACGTACCTATTAAAATGACCAAAATCTGAAACTCTGGCAACACCAACTGGTAGTGAGGTGTAAGCCAGTAGGAACTCTCATTCATTGCTGATGGAAATGCAAAATATTAGTCACTTTTGAAGACAATTTTTTGGGTTCGTTTTTACAAAATTAAACGTACACTTTAACATATGAAACTGGTTGTGTTCCTTGATATTTACCCAAAGGAGACAGAAACTTATGTCTACACAAAAATCTATGTGGATGTTTATATGAGCTTTATTCATCTTGGAAGCAAACAAGATGATCTTGACGTAACTGATACATCCAATGAAATATTACACAACTGAAAGAAATGAATTATTAAGTTATGAAAACACATGGAGAAACTTAACTGCATATTACTAATATGAGAGAACCCAAGTAGAAAAGGCTGCAAACTGTATGACTTCAATTATATGACATTTCTGGAAAACTACTAACTGTGAAGACAAAACACCAGTGGTTGACTAGGGTTGGGGGTAGGGAATAGGCAGAGTTGGGGGTTGAGGGCAGGGAATAGGCAGAGCACAGAGGAATTTTAGGGTAGTGAATACTCTGTGATAATAATGGATACGTGTCATACATCTGTCCTCTATAAAATATACAACACAAGAGTGAACTGTAATGAAATTTATGAACTTGGTTGATTATGATGTAGCAGGTAAGTTCATCAGTTCTTACAAATGTAGTGGGGTGGGGGTTGGAGGTGTAGAGGCAGAAAATACATAGGCAATCTCCAACGTTTTTACAAATCTTAAAATTTTAATTGTAAAAAATTTAAGTCTTCCATTTTACCGGGGTGGAATGGGGAATGGGATCAAAAACGGTGGGGGGAGGGAAGTGCACTGTGCTATGGTGATGGCACACTGGCGAGTTGGTGATGGGAGCCCACGGGGATTACAGTTGAGATGGAAAAAGGCACAAAATGATGTAAAAATAAACTTATTAAAAAAATTTAAGTTCATTAAAAAAAAATTATGTGTTCCCCACAAGTCCTTTACTACTGAGGAGCTGAAATAGCTATAAGCTCAGGGTTTGGGTTCACAGAATGAACTTTGCTAATAAAGTTTTACATTTTAAGTCCTGTGTATCTGCATTCAGAAAAGAATTAAGTATAACTTGTTAGAGACATAGCGAATCAGGTTTGATTGGAGTTAAGGTTGATTTCTATGGTTCAGTAATCTCTTGCGATGAAACCAACTTTTCAAGGTTTAGAATATCCTGCAGATAAGTGACTTTTACCTTCATGAGTACTTTCTCTTATTCATTAATTGAAAAATAGTGAGTGTGCCGCCCCCTCCCATTGCCTCCCTGGGGGATGGGGTGGGATGCTGCTTTGAAGAGAGAGGGATCTAACATAACTGGAACTCTACAACAGTTCTGTAAATGCTCACATTGACAGGAGTTTGAGAACTGATGGCTCAGTAGTGTTAAAGTGCATTGGGATTGTTGAAGAGTCAGAGCATTTAGACGTTATGTTCTGAGATTGCTTGTAGCTGAAAGAAGACGAAGAAGAAAATAGAAAAAAAAGATTAAGTAGGAATTTTAAATTTTATTCTGAAGAGTGGAAATATTAGGTTTGAGCACTATCAAGTAGAGGGTACAGATAAATCATATTTTAAGACAGGACTCGCAGGTAGTCGTGGAGCTCATAAGTTCATTTAGTAACACTTATTAGGACAAATTTTCCCTGAATTCAGAAGTATAAACAATATACTATTCATCCAGATCATAGATAAAGAATCCTAGAGAAATTAAACCGACATGAAGTGAAATGAGTAAGCATGGCTGGTAGTGCTTCAGTAAAGTGTCTGAACTTCACAGCACTTTCTGACAACTCTTAGCTATTCAGTTCTTTTTGGCTTTTGAGTACTTTTTAGTAATACAGATCTCGTTTTATTTTTAAAATGTGCACTATATTAATATCACTGAAGTGATATTAAAGAAAATTTTATTTTTTTAAATTTTGTAACAGTTTATTTTTACATCATTTTGTACATTTTTTTTTTTTTGCCATCTCAATTGTAATGCCCGCGGGTTTCCCATCACCTAGTCACCCGTGTGCCATCACCATAATCCCGTGTAAAGAAAATTTTAAAAAGTAAAATACTCAAAAGGTAGGGAACTGTGGGCGTTTTCACCTAGAGGTCAAAACACAAAGTGAGGTTGTTGGCTACTCTTTACGATTCTGTGCGGAGTCAGTGTCATACTGGCAGAAAACGCGTCTTAAGAAGCTCCAGGTGTTACAGAAGCTCCAGATGGTTTTCCAAGCCCTGGGTGTAGCTGCCCCGCGATCCGGGCGTCTTCCCCGCCGGCCAGGGGCGGCGCTGCTCCGGGGGCAGAGCAGCCCCGCCGAGGCGCCGCTCTTGGTGTTGGCAGCGACGCTGACGTTGCGAGGCGACACTTCCTGCCTACTCTGCCGCGAGATTTTTGCAGCTGTTTGGGCTGTGCTGCGGCTCTTCCTGAGACCCGCGCGGGCCATGGAGCGCCCGGGCCCCCCAGAAGGTGGGTTCGAGCGGCGAGCCGGCTGGGGTGGTTTGGGGTTGGTGGGGGGCTTCGGGGCGCCGCACTAATGACGCCTTCGCTTCTCTTGCCCCAGTGACGGGATCAGACGCGGCGGGACCGGACCCACAATTGGCGGTCACCATGGGCTTCACGGGGTTCGGTGAGTGACTGGCCGCGGATTGCCGGGTCTCCCTGTGTAGAAGTTTCCGGGGTCGCAGATGGAGAGGGCAGTGTCACCTCTTCCTCGCCTCTCACGTGCCAGGTCCTAATTTAGCGCGAGTGCGTGGCATTTCTCCTCTCTCTTACTCATCCATCCTCTTAAACCCCTACTTATCTGTTGGGAACAGCTCCGATGACACTTCGGGTGTGCTGGCGGGTGGAAGGAGCTGCGTCTATTCCCGGAGACTGACAGCTAACCATTGACAGTTGTCTGTAATGAGTCGGGCCTTCTAGCCACACCTGGGCCTTGCAGTGATGTTACAATGGCTGTTAAGTCCTTTTGAGTAAGGCCTTTTTGTCTTGCAGAATCTTCACCCCAATATCTTTGTAGATTCTAATCCTGTGAAAGGAAGAAAGATTTCAAAGAAAGATGTAGTCGCTTTTTCCAGACACTGACAAACAAGCAGGAATTGTTTTCTCGCATCATGTCTGTTGGGTCTTGGACAGAACAGACATCAAGTTAATGTGTCCAGGTCTTTTGTTTGTTCGTTCATGTATTCATTTATTCTGGCAATTAATGTATACATATGGATTATTTCTAATTGTACATATTTATTTAATTCTTAGTACTTTGAGGATTTTCCCATACTATAAAATGGTCTTCCAAAACAAGATTTTTAATAACTGGATAGTAGCCCACTTGACAGAAGTGCCATAATTTGTAATAGTTTAAACTCTTCTCTTGCAGTTTCTGTTATCAGTAATACTAAAATGCACACTTGAATAAATAATGCTTTTGTCTTCTCTTTTAAAAGGCATTTACGCATATTTCCCTAGAACAGTTATATAAAGATGGGACTACTTTCATAAAAAAGTAAATATTAAAAAGTAACAAAAAATTGGATATGTATCTTTTAAAACTTCTTGATACATACTGTCATAAAGCCCTTCAGAAATGGTGTTTTGATTTACACCAAAATCAAAAGAATCTTAATTTTACCATATTCTTGCCAACAGAGAATATGTATTATTTTTTAAAAAGGCAATGAAAACAAATACAATATTGCCTCAAAGCTCACTTATGTTTCAGAATTTGCTTCTGTGGTTTTAGAACTGAGGCCCCTTTTCTTGTTGGCTATTAGATGGGAATGTTTAGTGTAAAGTTTTTGTATTATTTGTTGCCTTGCCATCTTCATCTTGTAAAGAAATAATAGTGTATTGGTCCTTCTCATAGTTAAGTTGTCCAGCTATATCTGTTCAGCATCTTTGTTTGTAAGGGCTCTTGATGATGAGATTGGACCAACCTGGATAATCTCCCTATTTTAAAATCCACCATAATCTTGATTACACACCCTTTTGCCATATAATGTAACAAAGTCACAGTCCCAGAAGTTAGGGAATGAACAATCTTTTTTGCTTACTAAGCAATATGTAATTTCAAGGATTAGAGTTTAGAAGAATTAGTGGAGTATTGGGAAGTTGGCTGGTACTTGTTAATGAGATTTTCATTAAACATTCCCCGGGAGGTAAATTTTTGTTATCTTGTACCTGCTATAAATTAGACTAAATGGCAGCTATTGAATACCTAAGGTTTGGCCAGCTTATTACTGCAAGATCACAGTCTGCTACTTATTCCTATTTTAGGGAAAAAAGCTCGCACATTTGATTTGGAAGCAATGTTTGAACAAACTCGGAGAACAGCTGTGGAAAGAAGTCGGAAAACACTGGGTAAGAAGTTCAGTTATCTGCTCTTTTATTGGTTTGGATGTTGTGTACACCTTACACAAGTATGTTGACAATGGTAAACAAATTTCAGAATTGTTAGAAGTTTGTATGTGGGCCCTCCCTGGTGGCGCAGTGGGGTAAAGCACAGCACTAAGAAGCTAAAGTCACCTCAGCATGAGTTTGATGAGGTGATCCACATGGCCCCGCAGACCTCTCCTGACCCACCTGCTGTTCCCCTCAGCAGTGTACTTCGTTGATCTGCCTGTTCTGCTCCCCACTCTGTCTCTGGTGAATCCTCTCACTGCCCCTGAACCTCTGGCCTGTACCCCAGTTATGTATGCATAAATAGATAAATCTTTTACAAAAAAAAGCTTGTATGTGCTGGATCCTTTGGAAGTAGAGGTAGAAGACATTTTTTAACTTGATAAAAGATGCATCTAAATAGGATAAGAACTGAGTACTAATATCTTTTGGAAGTGTGTGCTATGAGCAACCAAGGATTCTAAATTAATTTATATGACTCAGAATAGCAGTTTATTACCTCTCTTCCCACCTCTATCTGATTCTCATTGCATTTTTTTCTTTCCTGCTTACAGCGGAACCAGTATTTGGAAGGCTGGGCGAGAGGTGGCTCTCAGAGCTGTGTACACCATTGACTGTTGACCCAGACAGTATAGAAAATTGAGACATACAGTGAATGTGCCTGCTGCTGTTGAATCTCTGCTGTTGAATCTCTGTCTGAGTTGTATCAGACTTTAATGAAGGCTTTAATTCAGACTTTAATTTGATGGTTGGCAATTCTAGGGTCTTCAAAGGAGACAGATTCTTCGACTGCTTTCTTTGGATCTGATTTAGATCATTATTACCTGAGAGAAGGAATAGATATGACTTGATAGAGCAGAATGGGCTAGAAATCAGGGATCCTGGAAAAAAAAATTGAATGAATGTTGCTCTGGTACTTGTCACTATTGGTTTTAAAATTATATATATTGTATAGTAGTAATATTTAATATTGGAGAAGTGAGCTTTGTGTCAAATATTTTTGGTCTTTGGAAGAATAAGAGTTTTTTGTGATGAAGAGATAGCTACCTATATATACTAGTAAAAAACCATCATTATTGTGTGAAATTTAAACATATTTAACAGTATAGTATGAACTCCCTATATAAAACATACTTAACTATTATAAGAATTCACTTTTTTTTAATGTTATTTTGGCATGAATCCTAGACACATTATTTTAGTATATGTCTTTAGTGTGGATCCTTGAAAAAACTGAAATACCATTGTCACACTTAAAAATACTGAGTAATGTAGTAGATTAGAGGCAGACATGTTATGTCAGGTATATTTACAAAAGCTTGAGACACATAATTCATAAACTTTTTTTGTGAATACTTAAAGTATAACTATTTTGTATTTACTTTTTTTAAGTTTTAATTATTTTTAGCTGAGGTAACTAGCATTTTCTCATCAGGTATTTATTTATTTTAACAGTGATACAAAATGCTTTGAACAAGGATTGTTTGTTCACATGTGTTTTTATAGTCCCTTATATCATGTCTTGCAGTATTGCTTGTCACACACATGCACAGACATGGACATCTATTTCGGGAGATTGAGTTGGATTTAGAACCGTAATACTGCTTTATAAAAAATGAACCTTGCTTCTTTGGGAAATGTTTTAAAGTAGTGTGATCTATTGGAAAGAGCGTGGGATTTATTGTAAGAAGACCAGGATTTGAGGAATTGGTACTACATTGAAGTAGATGAGTGATGTTTAATGAATTTTCAAATTTCTGATCCTCCTTTGCCTCATCTGTTAGGTGAAAATGGTACGATCTCTATTAGAAGGTTCTTGAAAAGATTAAGATGTTGGGTATGAGACCTTTAAACAGTAAACGACTATAAATATTTTAATCTTGTCATTTTTCTTACTGAAGCATATGTGTATTTAGCAAGTAAGGAGTTTTAGTGAAGAGGTATTAGGTTTGTTTTGTTTTTGTTTTTTGATTTTGAATAATGATCTCAAAACCATGTTCTCCTTGTTATGTTTGTGGATGAATTAAATGTGTTGAACTTTCTTGGTTTAATGTTATATTCTGGGACTTCGACTGCTCTTTATAACCCTGATCTAAACACATGAATCCAGAGTTTGATTTTTTTTATAAAAGAAAAGTTCAGAAACTCTGATTTCTGTGTTATATATGTCGATTGATGTTGGGATCGTTCCCTGGGCATTGATATCAGACTTGAGGAAAATAAGAACTTCTTCAGTCCCTTTTAATAGCCAGTGTAATTGTGTATATGGATATGAAGTGTTATAGTTGCTAAATGCTTTAGTAGCAAGGATGAATGGCTATAAAATCTCAAGATATCCACTATATAACATGTCAAGGGATAACAGTGATACAAATTGTTTTTACTTTTTGTTCTTAAAAGCTTTAAGTATATGTAGGACTTTTGACAGACATAGACCCCCCCTTTTTTTTTTAAAGATTTATTTTATTTGTACATACAGAACTGGGGTACAGGCCAGAGGCTCAGGGGTGGCGAGAGGCTTCACCAGAGACAGAGTGGGGAGCAG